TTCACGTGTGCAGCTTCACGTGTGCAGCTTCACGTGTGCAGCTTCACGTGTGCAGCTTCACGTGTGCAGCTTCACGTGTGCAGCTTCACGTGTGCGGATCCTGGGAAGCTTCAGCATTTGGGACTTTTTCATAAAGCTTTTTTTTACCCACTTCACATTTTGCAGACTTTTTTATGCTGACTCCTGGATGTGTGACAGTTTTCTACAGTTTCTTTTATTGGCCTTTCTTCTGCGCTTCCTTCTTTGTTTCTCGTGCACGTTTGCGGCTGATCCTGACCTCACGTGCTTGCTTCCTATCAGCCTCCAGTTTGGGGAGCTGTGAAAGAGAATCTGGCCATCGTTTGGTTCCTGTTCTCTATGTTCCTCATAAACAGGAGTCACCACCAAGCTCTCGGCGTGACGCTTCAGTGCCGACTGCACTCCCTCCCTCCTGAGTTTGTGCTGTTCTTTGATCTGTGGACGCTTTGGTTCTTGCTGATTGGACAACAGTTTCTTGTGTTTTTGTTTAACATGAGGAGGCCCTGGTTCCTCCTGGTTCAGGCTGCAGTTCCTCTCCTGGTTACAGAGACGCTTTTTAGGAAGAAGCTTCTCTGCTGCAGTGACGTGGAGCTGTGGGTGGTCTGCAGGGACAAGATAAATGTTAGTAACGGTCTATAAATAAGCACAGAGAACAATCCTGACCTAACAGGTGGTTTAAACTTCTGTGTTGGTGTTTGAGACCTTGTGGTTGCGTCTCTGTGTTTCATATAAGCTGTGCCAGCCGTCAGATGCCAGGGCATTATTCTGCCTCCCTACTCTGCTGGGGAAATTTTAAGAGGTAAACATATTTGTCATATTCTTCCACATCTTTGTAAATACTCTTGCGTCCATTCCAACAGACAAGCTCCCTCCAGGAGCTTCAGGGAGTCTTTATTTTGAGATGATAGGGATTATTTTCTGATTAATTCAAAACCTTTGTTGAAAAAGTAGCTGGAAGTGCACAGGAGGAACTGACGTGGGTTTCAGAGAGATCTGGTTCTAACGTACCTGCAGAGTCGATTTAATACAGTACACAGAGTACAAGTACAGATCAGCTAAGTGCAGGTACTAGTTTCCAATTTCACAAACCAAACACACACAAAAATACAAAAGTCCTAATGGCGCTTTTCTACTCTACAACATGTCTCCTTCACCCATCCTGTCACACAACAGTCAGCAGCTCAGCTTCAGTATCCTGCCCACAGACACTCTGGAGCAGCCAGAGGGAACCCCCAACCTTCTGCTGAGCTGCGGAGCTACACCACCCAGCTGTGCTGCATCATAACTACAAGTCTGGCGTTAGAAGCTGTGACAGACTCAGTGAGTTACGGTGATTTCTACAAGTGTACAGACCTGAGGAGCCACGTGACCTCCCTGTGGGCATCTCTGCTGCTCTGACCTCAGTCTGATCTTTCTAAAAGCTGAAGGTGTCTGCTTTTAACTCCGCTTTTCTCATATTATTATTATTATTATTATTATTATTGTTGTTGTTGTTGTTACTTTGGTCTGCGAGGCTGACATAAAGAGCTCGGAGCTCCCGCGGGCTCACACTCATTCATCCCGGTTAGCCTACCGATCCTGTGCAGCTTGATCTCCGGCTTCCAGAAGCTCTCCAGCAGCCTGCGCTGCCGCTCGATGTCCTGCTCGTACTTGACGATCGTGTTTTCAAACACCGTGAAAATTTCATCCACGGCAGCAGACAGCCGCTCGTTGACAAAGTTGATCAGAAACTCCACTGTGGACATTTTTACTTTCGATTAAACGATCAGCACAAGTCCTTCTACAGTTCCGGATTCTCCTGAATCTGCTTCCGCTGTGTGCTGCACCATTAAAGTTCCTGAATGAAGCTGAGAAGTTTTTTAAAGTTCCGCCCTCGGTAAATTACTGCCAAACTTTCTTTGTTACACAATAATAATAACAACAACAATAATAATAATACTAATAACAACAACAATAATAACAACAACAACAACAACAACAACAACAATAATAGTTATTATTGTTTTTTATTATTGTTTTTGTTTTTTTGTATTGGCACAGTTATTGAAAGTAAGTAATCGTAGGCCGCCATCATTTCCATTTTCACTGTATAATATTGGAATGGTCTTATACCATAATCTGACAGCGTGTTTACTTTGTTTGATGTCGCTGTCACGGTGTCGTATCACTTGTCTTTTAAAGACTTACTAAAAATCATCACTGTAACATTTATAAGATTTACAGCTTATCATGTATGTCACGTGTCATGTCACCTGAGCAGCCATCACAGCAGCTCTTACTACCATCGTGTAAACCTTCTCCTTCAGTCACAAATCATCCACCCACTCACTCTGCCTGCTCTCTTCTTAAAGTGTCAGTAATACATATACAACAATAACAGTTTAATCATTAATCTCTTTAATAAATTAATTAATCCCCCCCCCCAAAAAAAAATAAATAAATAAATAAAAAATTAAGAACAATGAAATGATGACTCTACCTGCTCGCATCGCTTAATGTATTTATTTTGGTTACAGACTCTTTTCATGCACATAATTAGTTTTTGGGATCATTTTCTGAAAAGGGGATCAAAAACAAACAATAAGGAGAAAATAAAGCAAAGTAAGCAGATAAAATTGACTGAATATTATTTATTTTATTTTGTTGGCATTGTAGTATATTAAGATGATAAATAAATAAAATATGATGGGGTGAAGTCATTGTTTCATTCATTTAAAGTTTTTTTAAAAGGTAAAGTAAGTACTAGTGCATGAAGGCTGATAGAAGTTAATATAAATTTAAAAGTACAAATCCAAACAAAAAAGAATTACATAATTATTTATGGCATTAACGCCTGCAATATTTATACAATACAGATGCTTATTTTTTTATTTATCTGTAATTATAATTGAATTCAATTGAAATTATCATTTCAATCTTTATACAAACAAACCCAGTTCCAAAAACAAATAAAAACAATAATAATAAAATAAAATGAAAATCAAATATTCATCTATTTTAGTCTCAGAGTACAGTCATGGATCTGAGCAGCTTTAAGACCCAGAGCAGAGCAGCTGTCAGCGGCGGTAAATATAGCAGCGTTGTGGTGTGTGCGCTGCTCTGTGTGTGGTGTGTGCGCTGTTCTGTGTGTGCGCTGTTCTGTGTGTGGTGTCGGTGTGCGGGTCAGAGCAGCTCCGGGTCATCATGAGGAGGCCTGAACAGACCGGAGCAGTCTGAGCTCTCCTGTCAGCACGAAGCGAACATGGCGCGTCTTTAAAGCTCAAACTGAGCGAGAAGGAGACTGAAGATCAGCCGCACGTGAGTCACGGCGTCCTTGTGTTCAGCGAGCGTGAGGCATTCACTGCCTGCTGTTTCTGTAGGTTAACTGAAGATCTTAAATCTCTGTCACTGGGGCCACAGAGAATATTTAATGTTTGTACCTTTATTATATTATTGAGATGACATATGCCAAGTAAAATGCTTTAACTAAGATTTATTTTCTTTATTTATTTGATATTTGATGTTGATATTTATTTATTTTCTTTCGTTAAATGATTACATTTATTTTATTTGAAAAAAGAGATAAAATCCTGTAGCGTGAGCTGATATCCTGACGTGTACTTTATCCAGCTTTTATTTACAGAAATGTGAGACAAGGAAAAGCAAAAATATCTCATATTTGATCCAGTGAATAAGGTCCTGATTTATCTTCCAAATATATTTTTGATCAATACATTAAATGTGTTATTATTTATACCACTACAAAGCGCTTTATATGGTAACAGCAGAAGCTGTACAATACGATATTAGAGGTAATCAAACAATCCTCTGTGAGAAACATGAAGAACAATGAGAAAAAAGAAACCGTAGGAGAGAGAAGACAAAAGACTGATGGAGTAACATGATGGAGTTTTAAGATATGAGACGACCAGATTATTCAAGACTTGGTATGTAAAGAGAAGGTTATTTTTTTCTTTAAAAAAATAAATAAAAAATCTGTAATATCTGTAAAACATTCAGCTCAGTATGTAGCAGGTGAAACACTGTACAGTTAAAAAAAGAAGCTGACAAACGCGCATCAGAAGTTACGCGAGGCTCTACTTTCACACTTCTACTTCAGCAAGCAGAAAGATATTCATTTAAATAATAACTAAAAGTAAAGAATGAAAATGTCGTTCCTTTTTAGATTTACTTTTAGGAGAAAGTCAGAGTGGATGGACGGGTGTAGCCTCGAACTCTGTGACAGAGTCAGAGACCAACTAATCATTTTCTCAGTGTTAAACAGACTGTTGAACCCAACACCGCTCTCTCTCCAGGCACTAGTTTCCTGTGAGCCTCACTGACGGTGTAAGGAAGCCCACGAGGGTCAGTTCTTCCACAGCCTGGCCAGGATGTTGCAGCTGTGTAAAGTCACCAACGCCCTGTTCATCAGTAACGCCCGCTCAGCCTGCAGCGACGAGCTCATCCAGCAGGAGGCGGTGTCGCTCTGCATCAACGTGTCCAAGCAGCAGCCGTTTCCCTCCAGCAGCATCACCAAGCTGCAGATACCCGTCTACGACGACCCCAACGAGGACCTGTACAGCCACTTTGACCGCTGTGCCGACGCCATCCAGAAGGAGGCGAACCGCGGCGGACGCAGCGTCGTCTACTGTAAGAACGGACGCAGCCGCTCGGCCACGATCTGCATCGCCTACCTGATGAAGCACCGCAAACTGTCCCTGACAGACGCCTTACAGGTGAGGATCCATCCCACCCTGCTCTACTTTACTTTTTGTACAGGTTACAACTTTGGCATCTGGTGTCAGTGATGACCTTTGTCCACCCTCCACAGACCCCGAACTCCTCCTGCTGACGGTGAGGCAGATTAGAAATGTGACACTTTGTTTATTGAAAAATAAACTGGACATTGATTAAACAAACTGCTGAGTTTGTTCACTCTTAGAGGAGTTGTTAGGCTCCATAAATGCTGTTCTCACTCCGTAACATCTCGACGTTGGTCACGTCCCGCAGCCGACCATAAGAATGCGAAAGGTGACCTTCCACGTTCTTATGGTCCGCACCGGGTTATGGATGAAATCCAGTGGAATGACGCTCCCGCAGTAATAGACGTTCCAGCCCTAAACCTAACCTTCTCCCTAAGTCTAACTATAACCTTTTCCTAACTTTAACCAGCACTTTAATGACGTTAAATAGTGTTTTCTCAAGGGATTTGAAGAAAATGAACAATGATGTGTAGATTGAGTCCAAACGGTTGTCATATTTCCTCATTTTTCCAATCTCGTCATTTAGGAATGTGTTGGGTGCCTTGAAAGCGTAATATGTTGACGATTTGTCACCTAGCATTACGCTTTGGGAGAACTGGCTGATAAATAATGGGGCGATTGTAGCTCAAGAGTTGGGAGTTTGCCTTGTAATCGGAAGGTTGCCGGTTCGAGCCCCGGCTCCAACAGTCTTGGTCGTTGTGTCCTTGGGCAAGACACTTCACCCGTTGCCTACTGGTGGTGGTCAGAGGGCCCGGTGGCACCAGTGTCTGGCAGCCTCGCCTCTGTCAGTGCGCCCCAGGGTGGCTGCAGCTACAATGTAGCTGCCATCACCACTGTGTGAATGTGTGGATGACTGGATATGTAAAGCGCTTTGGGATCCTTAGGGACTAGAAAAAGCGCTTTACAAATACAGGCCATTTACCATAAATAATGATCAAGTCTTCAAATGAAGGTCTGAGGACTGAAAGAGTAATAGAGTGAACACAAGTCACAGAAAAAGTGCTGGACTTTTGGTTGCTTCAGAGTTATTCACACATACAGTTTAATAAGTATTATTTTGCAGATTTTAAAATACCAATCATCCTATGTATAAGTCTCACTGTGCTTTGAGCCGTCTAAATCAGCCCAATCCTGCTGCATGAAGGTCAAAAATGTGGAGGACTGAGCTCAACCTGCAGCTGAGAGGTTTGTTTTCTGACACTGAAGCATTTATTATCCAAAGTGCCCTTGAACACAACACTGAAAGATGAGCTGCACACTGAGCGTTGCTATATTCATGCTCAGAAGGGACAAATACAACAAATCATTCTCTGAAGGCTGACACCCCTGATCCTGTTTTGTGCTGCACATTTGGCTCAAATGAAAAAGAAAAAGTGTTATTTTAATTAATTATATTTACTGACCTATATTCATAACATTAACTATCTGTTTAACCCAACAACAGAAACACATCTTTGTTTAATGTCTTTTTTGCTTTTTGTACCGTAAAATTACAATTTTTTGGAAAAAATTGTTGAAAAACAGCATAAATTAAGTCATGTTGTGTCCCTACATTGTTACAATGTTTCCTATCACTTCAATGCACTTGATTAGATAGCTATGTGCTGTAAATCATAATAACTGCAACCAGCATATTGAAGTGACAGTTTCTGATAGGCCAAAAAAAGAAAAACAGCATAAATACTTTAAAAAAAATCTTCCACATCTTGTTGTGTTGAGAAGAAACTGAATTTATGCATTATCTATCTATTAATAATCATTTCTTTTTATTATTAATTTGTATTTAGAGTTTAATTCAGATGTTATATTGTTCACTAAAATATTTTCCCATAGTTTCTCCGATAACTTCAAACATTAAATGAGTTTTATGATTTGACAGAAATGAAGGACTGAAGTTTTGCAAATGTTATGACAGGTAATGGAAAAAAATATGTCCATAAAACAAATAACAGAAAACAGGAAAAAATTCATGAAATACAAAAATATTTAGAAAATATTAAAATAAATTGTAAAGTACAGAAATACAAATCATGCAGAGCAACCACAGATCCTTAGAAACAGCTCGTCACTGTTCATTTCCCTTTTCCCAGAAAGTCAAGACGGCTCGTCACGTGATCGACCCGAACCCCGGCTTCATGTCTCAGCTGCAGAGATACGAAGAGGAGCTGAAGCGCAGACGAGGAAAGTCCTGATCCTTCTCACAAAACTCAGAGTCCGCAGCTGAAAACAGAAGCAGTGCTGAAGCTTCTTCACCTCCGTCCTCCTCTTCTGCAGGATTTTACACGCCGTCACTTTAGTTAAGGCTTAGATGAACTAATTAACCTCTAGATTACGGCCTGTTTTTAAAAAGTCCCAACAAATATGTATTAAACTTATTTTAATGTTAGGATACTGAGTGTCTAAAATGTGACCTGATAAAAACAATATTTAAGGAAAGTTTTTATTACAAAACTGAACAAGTGGAGCTGATGAGAAAAAGTATAGAAAGTTTTAAAATCAAGCCAAATAACATAAGAAGAAAAATTAACTATAAAATTTGAACTAAGCTGAAGTGCAGGTGGAACTGTTACCTCCTAAATGTGCTGAATATCCACTCTACATGATGTTCATCTACAGAAAACGAGGCTCATTTACTCTACGTAATCACAACAACATTATTCTTTTATAAACCTTTACTTTGTTACAAAGCACTTAAAGAAAAAACAGACAGGACAACATTGTACCAAGTTTGTGGAAAATAAAAGATGAAGAAGTATATTTATTATCCAGTTATCAGTTATGATCAGGTTGCTGCTCACCGTTGGTTTCACTATTGATTACTTTGCAGCCAATACTTCGATTTAAATTAAAATAAAATACTTTAAACCATAATTGGCAACAAAATAGTCTAAAAACTGATTATTTTTATGCTTGTCCTCTCAGTGGTTCACTAATCATAAGAAAATCATAAAAGAAAGATTATTTTCTGTCTTAACACTCAGTTTTCTTTTCTTGTCTGAGCACACGTGGCTGCAGTTCCACCTTTTACCTCTAGGTGGAACCACTTACACAGAAAATGATGCAGACCCGTGAACACGTGACGAGTCAGGCTCCTCCTCTTTCATTTGATCTGAAACATTAAAAAAATCCACAAAGAAGCTCAGGGATGATAATAAACCGTGACGTGAGATTTCGTCTCTCTTGTGAACCATTAAATGAGAACTCACCTGGATTTTATTCTGACAGGATGTAACCTTAGGAGGCTGTCTCACTGATCCTAGGTCAGTTTCACTGTAGAGCGTGGATGATGTTACACTGAGAGTTTCAGTTAAGATGCGATAATATGGAGCTTTCCAGGTACTTAAGCCTCTCCCGTTAAAACTTGTTAAATTCACACAAAACCTTTACATTTATTATTTGTCTAAGAATTATTTCCCAGGAGGCTCCAGTTTAACTTCACCTGAGATTTAATTTCAACTTAGGTTAACATATGCCAACGTGGAATTGTTCATTTAAATAAGTGAAAAGTCAAAGGTTGTTACAAGTTAGAGATTTGAAAGCTTTTTAGTTTAAATCACCTCATAAAACTGATAATTATGTCGAGATCAAGTAACAGTTTATATTAATATTCTATGAATCAGCCTCTGAATGATACAGAAGAAAAACATTTTCCTGGACATGAACAGGAAAGCAACATGTTCCTGGTCTTTTATGTTTAATTAAACAAAAAAAGAAAGAAAGAAGATTAATTATTAATCTAAAAAAGCACAAAATCTTGAAACTGGGCATAAAAACAAAAGAACACAAACAAAAATGTTTTGCCTTAAAGAGCCACTGAATTATTAATTGTCAGTTTTTTTAACGCTCCATCAAATGTCTTAAAGCTCTGTAAATATACAACATATTAAATACTCAGGTTAAAATAGTAGAAAAGAAACAAACATATTCAACTACATATGTGGGAATTTTTAACATTTTGGCAGCTTATTAAGTCTGAACGATCTCGTCATGTAAAACATGTAAGTCTGTGAAATTCAGCAGTTTTATATGTTAAATGTGTTCTGTGAGTTTTAATGCTGCTTCCGGTTAATAATTATCTTTTAATAAACAAAACAAAAAACCTTGTGAAAGTCTTACTGTTGATCTCAGGTGTGCCATTAGAATCTAAAAGCAATGATTTTATTTGCACAGATATTATTTAAACCACCTGTGACCTCAGTTTTTATTGTAATGAGTCTATAATTATAAAAGCAAACAGACGTCTGTGTTAGCTAAAAGGTGTTACCATAACAGGCGCTTAAAGAAATAATCCTGCCCTGCCTCTTTAAGACCAGGCTGCTGTAAACAATCGTTTGTGAGAAAATAAAAATAAAGTTAAATGTTGATCACTCAAAAATGAGCTCTGTGGTCATTGTCTACAATATGTTGGCCTAAGAGGTTTAACTTTATGTTTTATTCCTGTCCTGAGATGTTTGTTTCTGAA